AGTAAAGATCGAGTAAATAATAGAGATCAGTAACTAATATAGTATTTGCAACTGCGTTTCATCCAACATCAGACTTTCAATCAGAAATTGAATCTGGGTTTTAACAAAATTCTGCTGCTTCTGAAAATTTTCAATTTTTTTCTGAGAAAACGGGTAAATCTGCTGCTGCGTTGTCGCGCTAAAGTAAGTAGACATTGTCTTCTCACACTTCTGTGGCGGTTGACGTTCCTCAAACGTAACCGCACAATTTCCTCAAGATAATATTGGTAGAACAAATTCGTGGCCAACAATTCCATAAACGTAAAAATTAAATTGTATTTACTTTACGTTGATGAAGGGTCTCTTGCTTTTTTCGGCTGCTTGAAGAAAGATGTCATTTGTCATTACAATATTACTATCGAACATCCCATACACTAAGATTAGTGACAATCATGACTATTATTTAGAGTTCGTATTATTCGACGTAAATATGTATGTAAGTGAAACAAAGTAACAATATGAAAAATAATGAATGAAATATCTGATATGCGATTTAAGAGAGCTTCATTCATTCAAAAGAATTATGAATTAAACAAGAACATAAACTTTGTAGTTCTTTATCTTGTTACATTATGTACCAATAAACGTGATATTATTATTTTTAAGATCCATTAAAAATTACACAACATCAAATTTTTATGTTTGTTAAATTAGTTTGAAGCATTAAAATACAAAACATAAGTAACATCATTTTCAGTAATTAAAAAACCGAACAATGTGAAATAGGTAAAAAAAACATGTATTGTTGCAATAGGGGAAAGGAGCATGAACAAATCTTTTAAGTAAAAAACAATGAGTAATTTTTAGTTCTGTGCCTATAATGCAATCGAAAGTATTGTTACAGCTTTTACATAACAGGAAATCCTGTTCGCTTATGAATATTATTACAAAATTACAGAGCGTTGCACGGTGCTTAATCTGAAGGGTAGTACGAGAGACAAAAGAGAATCTCTCACCGTAACAGAGTTTCAAATCAAAACGCCTAATTTGACTTTCAATTGAGAGGTTGAGAGGATGAGCAAGGTATTTTATATAAACTCCGATTTCACTTTATTTAAATCGAGCTGGAAGGAGAGGAAGGCACTGTCATTCAAGTCAGGAGCTTCATTACGAAATACTTTAAGTCGTGACGAAGCTCTTGCAGCGCGAGTCCTTGAAGGGACACTACATTTAAACTGCATTATAATCAACTTGCATTAACAGAAGAAATGTGAATAATATGAGGAGCAATGTCCACCGAGATTTCCAAAAGTGCGTCTGATGCTAAGTAATATACCGTTACCCCGGTGTTCTTTTTTACAACTCTGCATTTAACCCTCGCCCCAGTTGCTTTACACGCAGTGACTGCGAACTCTAGTTCGCGAGTTCCACCGCCAGAAACCTTGACAGGTCTGGTTTCCTGCAAGCCACAAAACAATGCTGTCCTTATATATTACAGTAAACGTACCCAGTAGTGGCAACTGTCCGAGCAGATTGTTTCGCGCAGAGTGGGGGGGGGGGAGAGGGAGATATAACTCTGGGCATACATGAACCAGATGCAAGCACCGTGCAATACTCTATACCATGTTTTATTTCATTCTTATAAAATATGCATGAAATAAATTATCCTACCTGTATACTGCGGCTTGTAGACTACTATCCAATTAGAATTCACCCTTCTCGGCTTCGATCTCTGTACACTGTAGCAAGTATTATCACGCCATGCCCAATGCCAAGCGTCCACTCGCTTTTAATTGTATGTCGGAACACGTTTAGTCAAGTAAAGTAATTCAAAAACATCCATTTTCATTAATTTGGGGTTGATTGATACATCAAAAAGGATCACACGTTTCATAACACGGTTACCGTTAACTGAATGCGCAACCGGCTACAAACACTTTAACTATTCGCGCACAGTTTAATTCAACGCAATCCACGAGCACCACGAGTGCTGCGGGTTCTCTGTTTGCGCGCGCTATGTAACGCATTTTCGCTATGAACACTCGCGGAGGTCCACGCCGCGCTGCGATTACTGAATGCACAACCGCTTCCCTGCGGATTGCAAAGCCCGCCGCGCTGCCCGCTGTGCCTCCGTGAGAATCCCGAACCGGAATGCTCGCAGGAGGGGTGTCCGGAATGGAGCGTGGTGACGTGGAGGCCGTGCCCCTCCTTGCTGATTCCTTCCCCTACGCAATCTGCAAGTAATCCAACAATTGAGAGGCCTGGGATTAGGATTAATTGATTGATTGTTAGTACGTTGCATAGCAGTTGCGTCAACTACTAAGGTCATTGCTCCCGTAAGTGTAGAGCATTTTTGCTCGAGATGTGGCAATAGTAGTCTTTCCCCTCGCTGTATGTGCGAGATCCGGCGCTGACCCGGGGTTTTCCTCAACCAGGTTTCTCCTACAAGCGCCCCTCCCACACGCGGGACACATTCTAAGCTCCCGACCGATTTCTCAACATGTTGGGTAGCGTAGTGCTTGTTAGTGTGTGTACGAGGGGAGGATAGGACTATAAATAGGAATAAAAATTCCCGCGCGGTCCGTGTGTCTTTTGATACTGGGTACTGTTCCGGTATTCGCCCGGTATTCGCCACGGGAAACTACCGATCAGAGCAGTCGGACACTAGAATTCTCCTACAGACAACGACTGAATTCGACCTAGCTGCCAAGGAATTGTCAAAAATCCTACCAATGTCGAAACTCGAACCTAGGACCTCCCGGCTAGAGGGACTGCAATGACATCAGTTGATGCACTGAGCTACCTCCACCAGTTTGGGAGTACGTATTGACCACCCCATCTACAAGTAAAACAGTTACCGACGTTTTTCGTTTTCTGCTAGAAGTTTGGAAGTCATGAGCAAAGTAGTGTAATAGATTAGCGCAATGTCTTTGAAAATAATAAATACGATTTTTATGTCGATCACCTTATTTAAAGATTTCTTTGCACTTTCAATTGCCTTTGCTCTAAATGTCACTTGATGTAGATTAGAATTATTTAATTCCAAGTGCCTCAATTTTAAATTTAAAACAAGAATTGAAAGTAAATTTGGAAACTCTATAATATGGATACATTATCCGTGAAACATATCGACATACATATTTGCTGCAAGTACGGCAAGACAATGATTTTATTTTAAAATGTTTAAGAAAAGAAAACATGCATATTAATTCTAATAATTAAAAAAATGTGGAACGTTTTTAACCTTCTTAACTTCCAGTGATTTTTTTCTTTAGCTCGTCCATGTGGGCTCTCGTTAATGAGCAATATTCTGGAAATTAATTAATTTCACGCAATGTTGTATAATAACATGTTTAGAGATCTCCTCAATTTAGGTATTTTTTTGTTAAGAACGGTACACTTTTTTTGTATTTGCAAATTCATTTATTTAACCTATAATAAATAAAACGTATGCTGTAGTCTGCATATTTTACTTAAGGTTTGATTATTGTTTCCTTTCAAAACAGGCTCAGATTGTTTAATGTGCTAACCTTTCTTGTTACAAAACAAAATACACTCAGTAACACATCATACAGACCCAGTAAAAGTAACTCACAATTAAACTGTATCTTCAGTGTTTAATCCTGGAACTAATTGAGAATTGCATGTTATGTTATTCTTACATTCGTTTATTATATGTCAGAAATTTTCACTATTTACTCGTAACTGATAAATGGAAGGAAAGCTACATGCTAGTGACGAGGCATTGCGGACTGCGCTATACGATTAATGATAAGATTTTGGATGAATCAAACTTTTATTTGCAATTATTTGAAAGTTGAATAATGTAAATTTAAATATAGGTATTCAAATAATTTAGGGACTCATAATGTACACTTTCTCATCACAAAGAAAATCGTTGACCTATTTATTACATTTTAAAAAGATAATTTACAATTAAACTTGTAGATATTTCTCTGTGCATTTTTTACATTCTATCTTAGAAAGTTCAATCAGTTTTTCAGATATGTGCACAATAAAAGAGGTCGAATTATCTACTTTAATAGTTATAAGCAGATAGAACTTCACACAATTTTTCCTGCTTCGTCATTTGCTACAAAAATAATAATATAATAGTTGAAGGTGAGTAATAAAAATACATCTGTGCTTCTCCTTCACCTTTCCTTGCCTGTGTGCTCAAGAGAATATGTATGCTTTTGTATGAATGTTCCTCGAAAACATTTGAACTACTGGAGTGATTGCTCACACATTTTGCATGAATACTTTTGTGCTGCCACAAAAGAACACAAGGGGATTTGCAATTCAAACTCTAGCCCCAAAATGCATTTCTTTACAGGAAGTAGTTTAATGGAATCCACAATGCATCTACACGGTACAGTGACGAGGGTTGGGGTCGGGTTAGGTTGTGGCCCTAAAACAACACCTACGTTCTCGCCGGTATTATCATGCAAAATTATGCGAAAACTATTCAAATTATTGAAAAATAGTTACATCTTATCTCAAATTCTACCTTGAAGAAATAGGATTAATTCGAAGGAAAAAGCATTATCTTCAATATTTCAGTTATAGGAAGACTCCGAAAACATTTTGTCCGTTTGCAGTTTTCGAAGAACCACGAACATGACAGCCGCACCGTTCTCTTAAACGTCCTTCACACTATGCAACAGCGAAATATAGTCAAAAACAATGGAGAGATGTATTTGAATTTTTTAAATTTCGGGTTATGGCGTTGAGGATAAGGCTGTACCATAAACAGAGGAGAAGAAACATGAAAAAGAGATAAAGAAGCACCGAGAAGATTGGTGTCTGGACTGCCCGCAAGTGTACCATCGATTTCGCGTCAGCTCTTGAATCCAAGTTCTACTTCGCCGTCTAGTCTCTGGCTACAGCCGTGGACGTGATCTATCTTTAAATAGAGATTATGAAAACTATTTTCAATCTCTTGGTACTCTTTCTAGCGTTAAGGATAAGGCTATAGCATCAAAGGAGAAGAAACAGGAAAAAATAAGATTGAGAAGTACCGAGTAGATTGGCGTCCATGGACTGCCCGCAAGGGCTTCGATATCTCGTCTGCTCTTGAATCTAAACTGAACATGCCGTCGACTAGATTCTGCCTGCTTCCGTAATCCATTTTAAAATAGAGAACTTGAAAAGTATTCTCTAAGTCTTGGAATCCGCCATACTGTTAATGGTAAGACTGTAACATAAATAGAGGAGAAGAAACAGTAAAAGAAAATAAAGAAGCACCGAGTAGATTCGCGTCTCTGTATCGCCCGCAAGCAGTTCTCCGTTATCACGTTAGCTCTTGAATCCAAGCTCAACTTCCCGTCGTCTAGCTTCTGCCTCCTGTTTCTACGTGGAATCCGCCATAGCGTTAAGGATACGGCTGTAGCATAAATAGAGGAGAAGAAATAGGAAAAATAAGATGAAGAAGTACGAGTAGATGGTCGTC